ATCTATCTATCTATCTATCCATCCATCCATCCATCCATCCATCCATCCATCCATCCATCCATCCATCCATCCATCCATCTATCTATCTATCTATCTATCTATCTATCTATCTATCTATCTATCTATCTATTTATCATCTATCTATCTATCATCTATCTACCAATCATCTATTTACCAATCATCTACCTACCTATCTATCATCTATCTATATATTTATCTATCCATCTATCTACCAATCATCTACCTGTCTATCTATCTATCTATCTATCTATCTATCTATCTATCCATATATCTATCTACAAAGCATTTATCTATCTACCAATCATCTACCTATCTATCTACCGATCATCTGTCTGTCTGTCTATCTATCTATCTATCTATCTATCTATCTATCTATCTATCTATCTATCTATCATCTATCTACCTATCTCTCATCTATCTATCTACCAATTATCTATTTATCTACCAATTATCTATCTATCTATCTATCTATCTATCTATCTATCTATCTAGAATCCAAGCACATGTGTGTATGCATACATGTAGAGGCCATTAGACAACTTAGGCTATCATTTCTCACGCTTTTCAATGTTTCAGTGTCAGGATTGTAAGCCTCAACCACCACAATTGGCTTAAAGACAAACAAACAAGCACCAACAGAAAACTAGCAAGGGTTCTGGGGATCGAACTCTGGTCCTCACGCTTGCAAGGTAGCGCTTTACTGACTGAGTGATCTTTCAGCCCAAATTTCTTACATTTGAAGGAACTAAAATAAAAGCCAATAGGGAGCAATTAGCAGAAAACGAGCTGAATGATAGGTAGTGGTTTGTATTCTCTCCAAAGCCACCTGACCTCATTGGACAACAATAAAACTGAATTCTATGTGTGGATGTGGTAGGAGTTGTTTACCTTAGTTATAAACTAATCCCGCTAGAGCAAGAAAAAAATCATTTGGGTGAGTAAAGGCATATCATTATCAATTCTCTTAAACATCATTTCTTTCTAGTCAAATGTCTCCAGACACATAACATCTGTATTTACATTTTAAAAATTTGAGACTATTCATAGAAAGTATTGTATTGATAGCGTATGTTGTAATATTATGCCATGACATTATGCTAAGATATATAATGCCACAGAAGATAGGAAATACATTTGTCTCTTTATATTTACTATTTCTTTATATTTAAATTCCTGAAGAATGTCTACAATATTAGATACACAGTTTTAAGAGGATGTGTGGAGGTTCCCCATTCATGGTGTAAAAATTAAACTAGATGTGTGGCTAGTTTCTGGAATGGACTTGTGGAGCAAATAAGGGACACTCCCAGGCTCTGCATCTTGTTAACTACAGACTCTCATCTGTCTGGCCTAACTTGGGTGTGGCCTCAGCTAGAGGTAGTGGAATGGACTAGAACAGATGACTGCACACTCTCCTGACTTCTGAGGACACCATGATTCTAGCCATGTTTGGGCTAGGACACATGCCAGCGGATGAGCGAAAACCCCTTCTGAAATTTCACTAGCCACTATTCACTAGATCTATTAAGTAACACATCCTTCACTCCTGTGGGTTTCTGTAGCTGAACAATCCTAGAACATATGACTAGCATTGTTTGACACAGTCACTGTAGTAGCCACGATCGTACTACAAAGACCTGAAGATCTTCACATACATGTGAGAGTAACTCTTAATTTTGAGAGCTGAATCTTTTGAAGATCTAAGGGAAATATTGCTTTTTAAGGGAATTATTTTTCTTTGAAAAATCATTTAGCCTTTCCTTTGTTGTCTTTATTTGATCATGGGCTAATTTTCAAAAGCAAGGTATATTTTTGCTATTTAAACTTCACTGACACATTTAAGAAATTTTTTTCAATGATTGAACATTTAGTAAGCATATCTGTTGTACTATTACTAAAATTGTAACTGTAAACCCTCTACCATGTGAGAAGGCAAATTTATAAGGAGAAATGGGCTGGGAGCATGGTGTAGCAATAGTGTTTGCTTTGATCCCAGTAGCATCAGATAGATAGATAGATAGATAGATAGATAGATAGATAGATAGATAGATAGATAGATAGATAGATAGATAGACAGACAGTCAGGCAGACAGACAGACAGACAGATAGATAGATAGATAGATAAAAAGAAATGAAGAAAGAAAGAAAAGATACAATGAAAGGAATCTTACATGAGAATGATGGAACCTGAAGCTGAAATTGTATGTTTTTAATCATCAGGAGAAATTTTGTAAAGATAAGGATGGCTAAAAGACAGTGTTACAGAAGTGCTTACTAACTTCCAAAGCCACGATGGAATTAAACCCAATAGTCATGCCTTCCTGTGGTTCTTTTTATTTATTTATTTATTTATTTATTTATTTATTTATTTATTTATTTATTTATTTATTTTTTGCAGTGAAATAAGACATTAGACATTGAGTACAAATTCAATTCTAGTCCTGATTTCTCTGCCCCAAAGCTTTGGCACTATGTAACCTTACACAGATCTGTCTTGTCATCTGCAAATTCAAAGATAGTAACCTACACAGCAGGGAGATTGTGGGGATTAAGTGAGGCAAAGTTTTGTTAAGTGGATGACATTGTGTGAGAGACACCAAGTGTAAGACATGGAAGTCAAATGTGAACCAACTAGAAAATGACTGAGTAGGAACTGGATGGGCACACTTTGCCCATTCTCTGCCAGCACCAATTACCCCAGGGCTTAGTAAGTGATCAAATAAGCTAGTAACTCAGAAATTTACAGGCACTCCAGTCTTCCTGCACAGCACAAAGAGGTGCCAGTTCTTCCCTCTCAGGACAGAAAAGACCAGCCCTTCGAAGAGTGGGGATAGGCTAGTCACTGCACAGCACGCACACTATAACCCCGCGATTGCATCACCCAAGCATTTAACTTACTTTCTAAGCATCGGGATGCAGGAATTGTTCTTCTGAGTGCTAGGTTAGATTTCCTCCCCCTCAGGCCAAGCATCCTCCATGTCCAAAAAGTTTCATCACAAGCATCTTGACAGCACAGGATTACTTGCATTCCATTATCACTGCTGTGTTGATCACAGTCTATACCAAGTACAGAAAGTCCTGACAAGGAGCAGATGGTTTACAATCACTGCATTCTGCATCATGTGTACAGGAAATGGAAACAATTGAGGTTCATATGAGATGGAATTTAGCCCTCTAGACAGATTTACAGTCTTGCTTATGCTCCAATATCCATTAGAGGGAGAAGGCTACTGACATAGAAAGGTTCATGCAATCCCAGGAACATAATTTGATGGAGAATAATATCCCCCAAAGTGCAGGGGAACAGCTTAGTGTCAATCTAATTGAAAGCCACCACACTAGGGTGAATTTTAGATCCCCAGTGTTGTTCAATATCTCCTTTTAGTGACAAAATGAAATTGGGAAAATTCTCAGTTCTGGGAAGATAGAAAATATGACATGATTATTAATGCTTAAAAATACAGAGAGGAAATTTAAAGTGCTTTTAGAGATAAGTGTGAAACAAAGCATTTTACTAGAAAAATGAGAAGGCAACATTAACTTATGTTCAGAAATTAAAATAGTCCCTATGGACACAATGTGAAGAATGATAAGATATAAATACAAATACACAGGCTTGAGGTCATGGTGTACAAGTTCAAGGGACTGGTGCATCAATGGGGGTTTGTCTTACTCCCTTTTTAAATAGTAATCCAACACAGTAGTCCTTCAAAGGACAACAGACTACAGGACCTTGGCGAAGCATAGAGACAACACACACATTCAACATCTTGGATTCTCCAACAGAGTCACAATGTGGTCAATCCCAGAAGACCTAGAAAGTACATCTCACTATTAGAAAATATTTAAAAGGTGCAAGTAATCCTGGGTTATTTAGTCAATAGAAAATATGTCTAAGGAGTTACTTGCCTCCTGGAGCACAGACTAAATATTATTCATGTTCTACAGGGCTGAAGGTGTGTGTTCTTTATGCCATCAATTACATTCTGAGCACCTAGAAAGAAGCGATTTCTTCATAAAAATGGTTTTAAAGCTTATTTTATATAAATTTTAAGGAAATTTATATTATATATATATTTTATATATACATAATTTAAGGAAAACATGATTCTACAAGGTCTAGAGGTCAAAGGCAATTAGGATCTTGGCCTTATGTGTAATGACTCTGATGATAAATCAGAGCATACATGGATGCTTAATCCAACTCTTGCATACTATAAACACTGCAACTTTGCTCCTTCCTCTGATCCCTTGCGTTTCTTGTGTGCATTCTCTCCCGAGATGATCCCATCCCCTCTCTTAATTTTTACTACAACTCATAAACTGTGACTGACTCCCAAGTCTTGATCCATCTCTTTTTTTACTCTTAACTGCAGGCTCACAGATGCCAATACCTACTATCCATAGTCACTAAGACGTCTACCATGTGTCTCAAAATCAGTATAGAACAAATAACTAAGAAGTGCAGCTGCACTATTCACAGTAGCCAGAGATGCAACCAAGATAAACATCCATCAACAGACGAATGGTCGTATAAACGGTGATATATGTATGTATATATAATCGAATTCTATTCAGCCATTAAAAGGAATGAAGCACTGATACTGTACTGTGGATGAACCAGCAAAACAGAACGCAAAGTGCAAGGAGACCACCACAAACGTCATATGATGTATGACTGTGTTTAAATGAAATATCCACACTTAGTAAATCAAAAAGAGAAAACAGACTGCTGGTTTCCAGAGGCTAGGAGAAGAGGGGAGCGAGGAAGAACTGCTTAATGAGTAACCTTTGGAATTAGCATCCATGTGGCATATGGTGTTTACTGTGTGAACGGGTGGAGTGAGGAAAGCAGTTAAGTAACAGAAATGTATTTAGTACACGTTGTTGTGGTAGTCAGCCTCCAGCACAGTGCTAATATCCTGCCTCCTTCATGCGTGGTCAGTCCCTCGCCACAGTATTTCTCATAGAAGAAGGCGGAATGGAGTGCATTTCACTTCTGAGACGAGGCTATAATAGACACTACGGCTTCTGCCTTGGTTAGCCATGTACTTAGGTTCCCTCCCTCTCCGTCATTCACCTTTGAAGCAGCTAGCTATCCTGTCATGAGTATTTTCACAATTTCATCAAACAGGCTCTCAGCGAATAGCCTAGAACTGGACACTTCAGCTCCAGGCAGACTTTCAGGCAAGTTCTCTAAGGGATCGCTTGATCTCATGACAGACCCTGAGCCAGCTAAGATACCCCCAAATTCTCGGTCCTCAAAAACCATGTGAAGAAACGCATGTTGAGTGGCTGAGCTCAGGACACAATTATCAAACAGCAATTGGTAATTAATAGATTTAGGATATAGTCCTTATGATTTTATTACATCCTAAAGATTCAGCCTCTCTACACTACCACACATGTGATTAAGTTTGAGAAACACTCCAACCATAACAGCATACGCTTGCCATTCTAAGTCATAACGAACGAACTATTTGTAATTTTCAACTATACTTATAGGAGTCTATAACATGCACACAGCCTAATCTTTTTTTTTTTTCTCCCAGAATTCTCCAACTTTAACTCTACGCCTACTCTGTTTCAATCAGTCATATCCCTAACTTCTAGGTAGGTTCACATGATTTAAGTTCAGAGAACAGTGCACACTGGATGCTGTGGGAGGGGTACAACATTCAACTTGACGGAAGTCTGAAGGAGCTCAAGGTTAAGGGCAGAGTAAAAGTGAGCCAGGTGAAGAAGTTTGAAAAGTGCGCAGAAGTCCAGAGCGGGTTGGAGTTGTACAATATGAAGGTTGGAAGAAGCCAGAATGGATGAGAAAAGAGACAAAAAGTAACTGGAATGTTAGAATGGAGGCTAGTGAAGACATGAGTCATGAGCTGTGCTTACAAGTAGGAACTGTCAGTGCATCTCAGCATCTGGTGAGGCATGAACACTGTAAGACTTCTTACATTCCTCTTTACAATAGTCGAAAAGATACATTATACTTATAAACAAACTAGTCTTCTTTAGCAACAGCACATGCGCGGTGTTTGGGAGAATCTTTTGATGTTCAGTTCTGGCAGGTGGTTTTGTTTTGAGATGAAGTCTTGATGTGTAGCTTGAGTGGCCTCAAGACTACCATCCTTCTGCTGTCAAGTCAAAGATGCTAAGATTGTAGGCACAGAAAATCACCCCTGGTGACCCTCAAGGTTTGTCATGTCTAACTCAGGGCTCCACAAAATGAAGTCCAAGTATAAGCATATGCAAACATCAGGCCAGAAGATTTATAGAAACCTTTCTGAAAACTGTAAAAAAAAACCACAAAAACAAAAACAAAAACTTTCCTATTCATGATGAAACCCCATCATTGATTCAGGACATTGCTTCCTTTAATCTGCATTATTATTTGTTCAGCACTTATATGTGGCAGGCATATTTTTGTCATATAGAAACTTCATGATACTTCTTTTTAAGTGTTTTGCACATATATTGCCAACATAGCTCATCATGGAGTGTGGAAGGAAGACAACCAGTCAATCAGTAATTTCTACTTTTTGTATAAATTTTTTTCTCAGGAGCCTAAATCCCACAGACAACTCACTGATGCTTGAGCACAGGTGCTTTTTGTAGCAAATGGCTAATTTTATCCTTTCCTTACTTCAATACCCTCAGACAAATGGCATCAGAAAAAAAAATGTGAATCGAAAAGAATTTGTTTAGTCTGCTTATGATTTACTATAATAAAAATGTTTATCATTGTTTATAAAGGAAACTAAATTGAGAGCCCAGAAAGGCCCATTTCTGCCTCCAGGCTATCTTATGCAGGAACACAGCCTTCAGCTTTTCACCCATGTGAACTCCTTGCTGCCAACCCATTCTTATTATATATCCCTGTGGGATTTTTCCTCCATGACTTAACATTCCTAACCCAGGTCCCAGTCTCCTCCCTATTCTCTGAGTTATGCCATTATCTCATCTCCATCACTATCCTTGACCCTAAGTTTCACGAAGCACATACCAGTTCCACAGTCTCCCCAATGTCTTGCTCATAGAAAATGCTTCTTCAACATTGACTAAGGTGTAAACACAAACCCTCAGGGAAAGGTACTCAGTGGTTTATTTAGTTCCTTCCAGAAGTCATCTAGACACCAAATTTCATCTGGAAGCTTTCATGAGCTCTTTGCTCCAATATGGTAAGCAATAGAATATATTTTAAAGACTTTGTTATTATTGTAATTTAATTTTTAAAAAACAACATAATTAAAAGAATTTAAAGCAAGGCATGATTTTTTTCACAAATGACTACTTAAAAATTATGAAGCAAGGCATGATTTTCTTTACAAATGATATAAAAACCTGGAACAACCTTAGTATGCTAAAAAGAAAAGAAAAAACAACAACAATAACAACTATAAAGGATTATTTGGGTCTAATAAATGTCACCAGGAGCTAATTCAAAGGGCTCCCATTGATCAATGATGGGACAGTTGGAAGATCTACAGAAATGATGATGATCAAGGATGGAAGCAACCCAAATTGGCTAAAGTCCATAAAATCAAGATGTTCAAAATGATGACCTTTAGAGTTTCCTATGGAAAGAAAACCAAAAACTTTTCTGAACTTGTCAAATGAAGGAAAAATTATTTAAGTAAACCAAAGAGTTGGAGAAAGTACTCCTCCATAGACACTTTCCAAATAAGTACAGATAGCATGTTAAAATTAGAAAACCCCAAGTTTGTAACTCTTACTGAAATAATGGGTTTAGTTAACTTCTGAATATTAAAACTATCCTACAAATGGTTGGTGGCGATCTTTATAATGCACGAGTCAGGCCAATAAAACCCACACTTGTAACAAATGTTAATACCATCACTGAGAACAAAACAGACATTGTGTCTTTGGTTGTCACTCAGGGCACACACCCTATGTCTGGTTAGTTCCCCCAAAGTGAATCTGCATCTAGTCAAATTTTCAGAGCTTTACCATCATTTGAATACTACTGTGATGTTGCAGTCAGCCAGATGGGAAATTCTATAGGTCAAATGTTCCAAATCCTTCAACAAATAACCATCAATTTAAAAATGAATGGGGGTGAGGTTTTAGATGTTACGATGCTCAGGAACATATAAAAGCATATAATATGTAACATCATTTCACTGAGACTTAAATAAATGAACTACAAAAGCAGATTTTTGACAATGGAAGAAAAATGAGCAATCACTGGGCATTAACTGATGTTAACAAATTATTTTTTTTTTTTTTTTTTTGGTTTTTTCGAGACAGGGTTTCTCTGTGTAGCTTTGCGCCTTTCCTGGAGCTCACTTGGTAGCCCAGGCTGGCCTCGAACTCACAAAGATCCGCCTGGCTCTGCCTCCCGAGTGCTGGGATTAAAGGCGTGCGCCACCACGCCCGGCTGATGTTAACAAATTATTGTTAAATTTATTAGATGTGATAAAATTAGAGAATATTCTTATTTGTTAATGGGTGATTCTTAAAATTACCTGTGAACTGCTAGTGTTAGAGATATCCTATTAATTACTCCAGGAAAAATAAAAATGGTGTGTGTGTGTGTGTGTGTGTGTGTGTGTGTGTGTGTACCTGCAGGCATGTGAGATTGACAGAATAATATAAGTTGAAAGTAAGTGCTAGGAAAAGAGAGGTCATTATTCTCATGTCTGTTCTTTTGCAGTTATTTGGAAGCAATCATATTTAGCTGATTCTTGTTTTAGAGATGTCTTAGGATGAGAGGTGGCATATATATGTGTGTGTATATGTATATATATACACATATGTACACATACACACACACATACAAAAAAGATCTATGGAACACTCAAAGAGAACATATTGAAATATATTCCTGTACATCTACAGTCCAGGGTCATCTTTGGCCCCTTCCTGAGTATTCCCAACCTTCTGCTGTAGTGGAGAGAATCATTATTCTGAATTCTATGTTAATATTACCTATGTTTTTATTTATGCTTTAAAATTATTCATATGTTTATTCTTAATACTGTTTTTTGTTTTGCTTTTGAAACTCATAAAAATGGAATCATGTCTTATATATTGTTGACTTGCTACTTCTTTTAAAATAGATTTAAAAAATAAGTGTGTGTATGTGCATGCACACACAAGTGTAGGGTCTGTGGAGACCGGAAGAGGGGACTGCATCTCTTGGAGTTAGCACTGCATTTCGTGGAGTTAGCAATGCATCTCTTGGAGCTAGCAATGCATCTCTTGGAGTTAGAGTTATAGGTGCTTGGGAGCCAGAACTTGGATTCTGGGAACCAAACTTGAGTCCTCTGAAGGAGCAATGTGTACTCTCAACCACTAAGCCAACTCCCCGACCACTTTCTTGCTTCTTTGCACAGCATTGAACTTGGAGTGATGTGTACTGATGCTTTAAATGTGGTTACTTATTTTTTCTGTTGTAGTGTCCCCTTGTGCCTATATACTAAGGACATTTTGACCATTGTATGCTCAGTGGACATTCGAGTTATTTTCAGTGTTGCATAGATATTCCTGTGCACATCTCCTGGTGTACCTATAGAAGACTCTATAATGTGCATGCACCTGCAACTGCATTGTAGAATTCATGCAAATAATGTTGGATAATGGCCAACTATGTTCTACATTGATGCAACTTATGCTTCTTCCAATAACACATGCTCTTGAGAATTTCCCTTCTCCCTCCTTCACCACCAATTATTATTTTCATAGTTCTTTTTTTTTTTTGCCAGTCTGGCAAAAAGAATGAAATGATACCTCATTGGAATTACCATATTACTAATTGAATGTTAGTGTCTTTTCATACGTTGGTTGAACATTTGTTGTTCTTCCTTTGTGAATTCATATTCTTTTTTGAAAAAAAGCTTTTATTCTAATAAGTTCTTTCTCTTTTTCATATTGATCTTGAGTAGCTCTCTATATATTCTGCATATTAACCTTTTGTAGTTATTAAAACTAATTATTTTGTGGCTCATTTTCTTGCTCATTCTTCAAACCAGGGATCTGAATAATCTTTCACTCTCCTCCCCCTTAGGAATCTTTCCCCACATCAGGACTCAGTATTGTCCCTCCGTATTGTCTGCTAACAGCTTTATGATTTTGGTTTTCACAAGTAATCTTCAATGCAGCTGGAGTCTCCCTACCGTTGATAACTGTGGAACAGGACTTTGATTTCCTGTTTTCCATGTGGATAGCCAATTGACCCAGAATCATTTATTGAAAAGTTCATTCTTTGCCCACTGCCCTGTAATACTGGCTCAGTCATAAATCAAACGTCTATATAAGTAGGGGTATGCTTTTGGTCTCTTGAAAATGGAGTGGATTTTCATCATCCAGGAGGAAAAAAAAAACAATAAGTAGAACAGTCTAACTTTGGCAATTTCCTATGTCTTTCAAACCAAGACCTACTGTGTTCTTTCTCAACTTACTTCTCTCCAGACACCCCCCCCCCCAAACATTATTCCTAGTCTCTCTGGGCCCCCAACACATCAGGTCAGTGAGTTTTTAACTGAAAAACCAGAGAGTTTTCATACTGAAACACTATGAGGAACATTTTAGTTCACCTAGCTAGACAGTACACCACTCCAACCTGCAGGTTGGCATGCAGCTCCACAGTGCTCAGCGTGTGACAGAAACTAAGTAAATCAAATCTCCTTGTGAGATTTCCTATGGATGAAGGCATACATGAGCTGCCTCCTGACATGTCAGAATTATGTTCACACGGACTGCATCTATTTTATTTTTGTCAAAAAATGTATAGCCTAGAAACTTGTCTAAGTCTAAATTATATAAAGATAAAGGTTCTGGCTCACTGTTGTTGTTGTTGTTGTTGTTGTTGTTGTTTTTATCAATTTTGAAGCCTGTCTTAAAAGTAATCTTATAAACATCTGACTATTGAAGAAAATCATGCATCTCTGTTCTGCTGGATTCACCTTGTGTTGAGAAAGTGACTCAAAAAAAAAAAAAAGACAAAACAAAGTAATCGAGTTCTGTTCAATAAATGTTTTTCTCTTTGCCTTTTATCAACTGCACAAGGACACCAACTTAGGGACATTCTCTTCCCCATCGTGTTGTACATTTTGTATTGTCTCTTTTTGAGCTAGAATATAAGTCTTCTGCAGGCAACTTCAGGGACCAGTTAACTCCATTAAATTCTATACAGTTGTGTAGTGAACTAAACCGCTGCTTGTCTGGGGCTGTCTGGAGCTGAGACACTTAGGAGATGGAGAGAAGCAAAAAGAGAGATGATTTTATGTGTCACCGAAGCACACTGCAACAATATGCCAGTGTGACTTTCAAAATGGCCTTAAAATATTCCAAACTCAGGGAGTTTCCTTGCTCCCGAGTGGGAGTTGACAGACTGTCTGGCAGCAGAAGAAAAGGCAGGGAGAAAGCTGATGTCTATATTGTGTCCTCTAATAACATTCTGCCTCTTTTCGGCATCTTCCCCTTAGAAGGACCTGCCAGTTTGTTGTGCGATTGTGTTTGGCGTGTGTGTGTGTGTGTGTGTGTGTGTGTGTGTGTGTGTGTGTGTGTGTGGTCTTCTCTACGCAAAGAGCATGATTTCACATCTGGAAAAACCAAACCGAAGGACACTAACCTTCCCAAGGTCACTTAGAAAATTAGTACTGTGACCTGGTGTGGGGGTGGAACAGAACCCAGGTGTTCCGGCCCCAGTTTTGTGGTTGGGCATTAAAGCATTTTCCTTTGTGGGGGTAAAAAAAAAAAAAAAAAAAAAAAAATAACCGGTCCAGGGATTTGGGGGAAGTGAGAGATTAATGTGATTTCCTCCCCTCCTCCCCCTTACCTCCCTTCTTTCTTACGAAAATTAAAAACTCAGGAAAGCTAGAGGTGCCTTCTTGGCAGTTCTTAAGCAGGGTCCACCAAACCGACTCCCACCTCCGACACAAAGCGATCGCCGCTCCCAAGGATTCTGTGCGCCTTCTTTGGGAGCCTGGGAGGTGAGGAGTGGTGGAAAGTCAGCCCTCACCTCCAGCGGGTCCCGGGCTCGGCGGCGCCCAAGCCCCGCCCCCGACCGCCCTTCCCCCGCTACCCCGGCAGCCAGCCCCTCTCCCCTCTCGCTGTCGGGCGCACCCACCCCAGATGCCGCCTGGCACCGAGCGCAGCCGCCGCCGCCGCCGCCGTACTTTCCACTTGTATTGATCACTCCTAGCTCGGCTCAGCCTGCTCCCGGAGCGCAGCGCGGCCAGCGCGCCAGCCCTTGGCAGCTCGGGCACAGTCGGGCTCCCAGAGGAAACTCCTTGGGAGCGCCCTGTCCGGGGTGTCCTCTGCGCTCTGCAGTGTCTTTCTGTCTGCCTGGAAGGAGGAGGAGGAGAAGGAGGAGGAGGAAGAGCAGAAGGAGGAGGAGGAGGTGGAGGAGGAGGACGTCGTCTGGTCCCGGTTGGGAGGTGGAGCAGCGGCAGCAGCAGCCGCCGAGGCAGCCGCCGCCGCCGCCTCCGGAAAGGGAGAGGCAGGAGAGATTGGGACTTGGAAACCCCAAAGTGTCGGCGACCCTGCACAGCAGGCTTCCTTCCAGCTTCATGGGCAAAGTGTGGAAACAGCAGATGTACCCTCAGTACGCCACCTACTATTACCCCCAGTATCTGCAAGCCAAGGTAAGGAGGCGCGAGGAAGGGTCGCCGGAGGAGAGGACCGTGGAGGGGCGCGCCGGGCCGGGCTGGGGAGGGGAGCGCGGCGACCCAGCCGCCCCCGGGCGCAATTGCTGGGGTTGCTAACTATAGCGCTGGCTTGGGTAGAGCCGGGCTGCACGCGGGGCGGCGGCTTCCCGGGGAGCCGATCGTGGCGATCGGGTTACAGAGTCGCGGGGGGGAGCGACTAGACAGGAAAGGACCGCCGGCCCCTTCCTGGCCAGCGAGGAGGGGAGGGTCTCTCGGCCTCGCGGCGCCCCTCGTCCAGCTAGGGCTGGCGGCCGGCCGACGCTTGGGGCCCCGCGGCAGGACCTGCTGGTGGCACGGCTTTCCGACCTCTCCAGGGCCTCGCCCTGCGGGCGGTAACTCTGGGGTCCCTGGGAGTGGCGCGCGGCCCCCCCTGCCCCGCCCCGCACGACTCCCCTCCAGCTCCCGCGCGCGCGACGAATGTGGCCGGAGGGGGCCGGGACCGTCTCCTCCCCGCCTCGGGCCCTGCGCGCCCGCCCCTCGCCTCTGATCTTTGTGCGGTGTGGCACTTCACCTGGTTACTGATTTCCACTTTTACGCTGGTGTTTTGGGTAGAAAAGTGGCCAAAGTTCACTCCGCATTCATTGATGTCCCTTTTAATCTTTTTCTGTAGCTTTTACGTAGGAGGGACAATGGACAGATTTCAATGCGTAGAAAGAAGTGACTTTGTATTTACTTTTCCCTTTTTGTTTTTGTTTTTGTTTTTGTTTTTCAACTACCTTCTATGTTTACCACAGAGTGATTTCCAGTTCTGCTCAAAAGTGGCCTCGGCACACTCTTGGGTAAGGACAGCTGATGACATGTAGCCATACAAATTATGGCCAGCTTTCCAGGGACCCCGGGTACTTTGTTGATGGGCCTATGCTAATTTTACAACAACAGTTCAGTGCCTTCTAAACTAATTTTAAAAATTATCTGGGTTCACGAAAAGTGCATTTTACCGCCATGGAAACATCTGCCACAATTAGGGAAGGCAGAAGGTGCTGGTGGGTACACCAGCCTCCTTTGGCAGTTAACACCTAGCATGCCCTTCTAGATCACAAAAGAATCAGGTATGGATGCCGTGTTTGAACTTTTGTTAGGGGATTGCTTGCAGGCAGATGGGCATTTCTGACCTGGTACTGAGAAGCTATGATTCACCCTTGAAAGCTTTCTTCCTTTCAATATGTGTGGTCCACGTTGTCCTGTTCCTACAACATACCTTAGTGTTCGTCCATGTAAAGAGGATTGTCAGCAGAGGCCAGTCATTTCCCAGCACTCGCAGGCCTCTCTGCCGCTCTCTCCTTATTCTCTCTTACCTTAGATAACCAGCGATAGTAAGGTACTAGCAACTGATCACCACTGTTCGTCTCCATGTGGTTGTCATGTCATTGTTTTAAGAACTTAAGGGAGATATGCTTGCTTGGTGTGTGTGTGAGTGTGTGTGTGTGTATGTGTGTGTGTGTGTGTGCACTACACTGAAGCCGTTTGAAGAAATTTTGTAACGTAATCAATGTGCTACCTTTTAGATGTGTTATATATTTAATGCACTTATTTAAATTATGCAGCATTTGGGTGCCTGAAGGACAGCCTATTCAACACTTAACTCCATGAATAATAAATACACACATTCAGGTGAAGAAGAAAAAAAAAGCCATGTTTCTATGCAACATTTACCTTAGTAATTTTTATGTACCATTAGTAAGTCAGAAACCAAGTACATAGCATTTAATATAGCTAATGCAATGCCATTTGGCTTCTTTTGCCCTGTAAATAATTGAAGAGAGAGACAAACGTCGAGAGCTTGCTGGAGTAATTAGGGCTGGATCCCAGGAAGCTTTAGGGCCCATTTTCTGAAAGTGTGCTTCCTGCATAAAGCGTTTAATATTGATTTGTGTTACAGTAAATGACAGTCTTAAAACATATTTTGCTGTTTCTCCTATGAAATCTGAAATCCTATTACCCTGAATCTCTTTGTTTCGGGAGAAAGGTGCGTCCTCACTTGACCTATATAATGCCGTGTTTTAAAAGTTTGGTAATTAAATCTAAACTCCCTATTGTAAAGGTATCATAATTAGTTCAGAAAGGAGCGTCTCCAAAAATACAAAGGGACCAGATGCAGATTTGAGATAGCAGAGTCAGAGGCGGGGACATGCCCTTCTCTCTTTCTCCTTCCCGTAGTCATTGGTAAGATGGTGGAAGTGAGAGTCACTAAGAAATATGGAGCGTTTATTTGGTTTCTAGTCCAATAACAAGCATAATGTACCTGAAAAGTTAATAAACACAGTGAGAATCTGTTGTCTACGGCAGGGCTGGTGCTTGCCTGTGTGTGTTCTGACCTTCCTGAGATAGACTACGTCACTCTGTAAAGTACACTGATGGGTTCGGCTAGTCCCAACTGTTGTGAAGTTATGTTGGAAAGCTGGATCAAAAACTAAGTTGTTTGGTCATTTGAAGACTAATTTTAACCTGTAATTATGAAGTAGATGTGGTTTTGCTGGATCATGAAGGAATAGATAGATCTTGGGCATTTATTTCATCAGAGGAATAGGCAGTTTTAAAAAGTACTTTAAGATGAGTTTTATTACCACACTTTCAAAAGTTGTGTGTGTCAAATGCTTGTGTTAATCTAATCACAGCCTGTTTTGGCAAATTTTCTTTGAAAGGTGCTCCTATAAAGCACATCAATTCTTCATTTTGCAATCAAGAAAATAACACTTCGAGCCAACAACTACATTGCTGTACATCATGTTTTGACAGAAAGAAACTGTAACAACGTCTCTATGGAGCATCAGGTACAAGTGAGGCTGTTGAGAAGAGCAGGGCATAGATGGATGACATGTAGTTTCCATTATGCCTTAGTGTACAGTAACGTGGAACTCAAGCACCCAGATTTTACCCCTTATGGGGTGGTTTTGTTTGTTCTGTTGGTTTATTTCTCAGTCAGTACTATCTTATTTAAGCAGATCTACTTTATCACCTGGCACATTCATCCTCAAGTGGGTGTTGATAGAGCTTTGTAAACACAAGCACACATTGTTCTAAAGACAATTCCAGATGTCAAATGACTTAGGTGATATTACAAAAAGTTAACTTTGTGCTTCAGTTTTTAGCTGTTCAGAAAAAAAAAAAAGAAAAATTAATTAATATTTTAACTCAAAGATTTGTATGTACAAGTTGTCAGCCAGTGGCTATAGGAATTTCACTTCTGTGCAGGCTGTGTACTTGGGAGACACTATAGCATTCATTAGTGCTGATGTATATGTTTGAAGGTTTATGGGGATACAATACTTAATCTTCTTTTGAAAAAGGAGAAGTACAGGTTTTTCTTTATTTATATTGCTTTCTCATCTTTTGTACCAGTTAAAGGCAACATGACACTCATAATCTTTATTCATGTACCTTTGGTATATAGTTCTCTAAAATATATCAAAAGCTTCCATTTTGTGCATATAACATTGTTTTCTGAACTAAAGAAATATTTTGTACTAAAGAATGTTTGTTTCTGAAGTAAAACATAATTTTGTTTTAAGGTGATTTTGTATAAATGTATACCACAGAATATATCTAAACTCATCATCAAAATCTGAGAGATTAAAGTAATTTGGAATTCCACTAATAAAGGCTATAGAGACAAAACAGTTCTGAACTCAGCCTCTTCATTGGATTTTTTATTTTGGGCGTGGGGGTCGAGACAGGGTTTCTTTGTGTAGCTTTGTGCCTTTCCTGGAACTCACTCTGTAGCCCAGGCTGGCCTCGAACTCACAGAGATCCTCCTGCCTCTGCCTCCCAAGTGCTGGGATTAAAGGCGTGCACCTGCACCACCACCGCCCAGCTTCATTTTATTGGATTTTTAAACCATTATTTATCTTTAGTCAACAAATATTGTGCCAAACAATCTGATTCTTCTACAAATTAAAACCATAATTCTACATGCCTAAGTGGCAGCTATGATAAAGTGGATGGATTGTACAACAGCATAAGCCATCTTAAGATGTACCTACCTTAGCTGTGCAGTGGTGGCGCACACCTTTAATCCCAGCACTCAGGAGGCAGAGGCAGACAGAACTCTGTAAGTTCAAGGCCAGCTAGGTCTACAAAGCAAGTTTCAGGACAGCTAGGGCTGTTATACTGAGAAACCCTGTCTCAAAAAATAAATAAATAAAAAATAAAAAAATAAAGAGGTACCTGTCTTTACCAGGTGAATAAAAGTTTAAAGGTTGCTTAAATGTATCAGTTTAGTAATACAGCATTTCACACTGATACATTAACTTGATTTCCTTAGTAGGATATTATGAGTGTCTAGACATGGTAGGAAAGACTCAAAGTCATGGAAATGTTAAAGATGAAGTTACCTATTGTAGCACCGTTTCTTTCAGGTATTTTTAGAGTTTGGCAGAATGCAAAATATATAGACACATATTGCCTCTCTGTTGAGAATGAAACTTTACGCTACTAGAAAAGAATAGGGGAAGATGTGTGAGGGAGGAGTATCCCTTTGCATCACTACTCTGGATATTCCTCCAGTTTTTGGCAGTGTTGATTTGGGGTTTAAATTAAAAAATAGAGAATATCCATGTAGTACATTTTCAGTGAAAAAATACTTTTACTAATATGTTACTGTGACTGTAACCTGGTCGGTAGTAGATTTTAAAGTTATAGATCTTTTAGCTAAATAGAAAATATTTCTTTTTTTTCCCTTTGTTTTTATGTAAGAAAGAATTTCCAGGGAAGCAAATCATAGGTTTTTTTTTTTATTTCTGCATCACATTATCTAATAAAGATACAATGAGAAAGCTCTATCTAGAATGGAGAAGTTAGTGTTCTGTAAAAATGATGTGAACAGCTAAGAGTTCGTTCATTCTCATAAAGAAGAGGGCTTTCTTATCTAGTTTGTTTTCTACTGGGCTTTACAGTTGAACTGGTTGGTTTTCTCCGAGCACAGTGTCACAGCCCCTCTA